CACAAGTAAAAACAAGTGACAGTGAGATGAAACAAACTGTATTCTACAGCCAGAGTTCCATTTTCAAATGTTGTAATTACTTTTTAAATATTGTTTATGTAAGTGGCCAGTTCCGGAAACCTATAGTGCGCCCTATGTAACAATTAAAATAAAAATCAATTATTACCAAAATGATTCTTTTTAATAATTATGCGTTTAAGGTTTGCATTTGTTATCTTTCAATAGCTGGTCTTTCGTTTAACACAATTAACAATAAGTATACGAAAAGTAAATGTAATAATAAATGTAATAATAAGTAAATCAATAAAACACTATTTTCACAACAATAATAAGACATAGGAAATGAAACTATTTTTCCGGATTTAAATATTTGTTTTTTTTAAACAAACCGACGTTTCGGGCCCTTTACAGGTCCTATGGTCACGGTTGACTGAGGTGGTACAGTCTTCAACCAGTTATGTCTAATATTGATGCAGACCATCTTATTTTTTCACTATAGTTACAATAGTTATTAATTAAATACCTTATTTTTAATTTTACAAAGAAAACATTCTAATTTACGCTACATTAATTTTTACAAATTATTTTATTGAACAAATTTTTATTAAGTTCAATTTATTATTCATTAATAATAGAAATTAGAATAAACTAAAACATATTATTAACCATATAACACCAGGTCCTTTCAAGAGAAGCCCATTATCTACCCAGGATGCTGCGAGAGGCCATTGAAATTAAAAAACATCCTAATTTTAACAGGGAAGATGGTTTCTCCGTTCCACCAGTTTGTGATCCAGTATTTCCTCTAATGAAAAATCCCAAACAGACATAAGACTGCAGTACTAAAAAAATAATATGTTTTAGTTTATTTTAATTTCTATTATTAATTAATAATAAATTGAACTTAATAAAAATTCATTCAATAAAATAATTTGAAAAACTTAATGTAGCGTAAATTGGAATGTTTTCTTTGTAAAATTAAAAATAAGGTATTTAATTAATAACTATTGTAACTATAGTGAAAAAATAGGGTAGTTTGCATCAATATTAGACATAACTGGTTGAAGACTGTACCACCTCAATCAACCGTGACAGTGGTTTGTTTGAAAAAACAAATATACAAGATATATATCCGGAAAAATAGTTTCATTCCCTATGTGTAACAATCGCGAAAACCTAAGAACTCGAAACAATAATAAGACTTTTTTCTGGGTATTTAATACACAACAGAAGTAAATTCACACACTGGATTAAGCGTTAGCAACAATCCAGGCGGAAACGCGAGAGACTCGTGTGTTAACAACAGGGTAGCGAGACAAAGCGCTTTGGTTGCCCCAAGAGCACATTCCCACGATGATGTTGTTATGAATCACAGGACTTCCAGCGTCACCCTGGCCTTGATCACGACCACCAACATTCATCCAACCAGAGCACAACATGTTATCGGTGACACTTAAAGCAATTTCGGAGTAACGAGATCTGCAGGTAGCTTCGTTTACGATCCAAATTTGTACATGACGAAGTTGTTCACATCCGCTTCCACCAACCTGTGAATATCAAAATCCGTTTAATTATGACTAACTAATGGTATGTTTTGCATAAAAAGAAAATACTAGATAAGAAAATATTAGGAAAATTACTAGAAAGTACTAAGAAAGTCTGATGACATTGATAACATTAAATTTATTAGCATGTCAAAAAGACATTATCGTACGTATTTAGAGCCCCATCCGATAGCAAAGACTGTTCGATCGTCAGCAAGGTTGTAATAACTTCCAGCGATGCTGGCAGTCTGTTCTGCATTAGGTATGTAGGTAATCGTTGCTGCAGTTCTAAGGATTGCGACGTCGTTGTCGAAAGTTCGAGAGTTGTAGTTGGGGTGAACGATGAGAGAAGCCGAAGTTTAAACTGTTCCGCCACTGTTGGCCCATGATGATCCTACTCGCGCACGCCAATTAGCTATTCAATCACCGCTGTAAATCAGAAAATTGAAATATAGCTGGTGTGACTACATGTGACTTGGTGTGATAAGTCTAATCTTAAAAGTTTTATTTACATGTTTTTAACAAAACAAAGACACAAGGGTATAAGTCTGAAATTGAAGTGCAGTTTGTATAGTCACATTTATAATGGAATTTTGGTAGTCACGTACGATGCTATTCTTTATTTGCTGTTATAATTTGATTTTTTTTTCTTTTTTTGAGTCGCAGAAGAGATTATTTAATTTTCGGTCATGGTTGCATTTATTTATTTTTTTGCATCACAATAAACATTAACTTTAAAATATTGAACGTACCCAAAACAGTAGCAAAACCTGCCAAAAACAAACAAATACGTATTCTTAACATTTTGTCTTCAACCCAAATTACATTGAGCACTTTATTATAACAATCACTATTTATATCAATCGGATGATCGATATTTCTATGAATTACGTACAATAATTATTGATAACATTGAATTACTAGAATGTAACATTGAAGTACTTGAATATTTATGAGGTACTTTTACAGACTTTTGATTACCTACTTTAAGTAAATTATTTAGAATCTCTAATGTTTCACTGACATATGTCAATCTTTTCATACAATTCCGCTATTCTTCTCACTGTGCACTGTAAGTTTCCTGGTTTGAAAGAGAACGTAGTGAGTAGAGAAGTGTATGCAGAGGTGATTAGAGCACATGGAACTGAGGAATAAAATTAGATTGACGTTCAAAGTAACGCTGGAACGACAGGGGGGGACGACAACGAACAACATCTTCAGATTAAATCGTGAATATTTTTAGAGCATTTGCGCACTACATCCGATTCGTGTCAGTTCCGCATCCGAGAAATGACGGTCCCAAAATGTCACAGGAACCATTTTATATTTAGAATAGATAGAATAGAAATCTTTTATTACTACGCCCATTGACTTACAAATAAATGGACGACGGGTCTAATACAAAAACCATGAAAAAAATGTCCCAAGTCAACCTATTCGAAATTTAAATTGTAATGTCATCGCAGTATCGCGCTGTCAGTAGAACAAATGAAGACTAAAGCGGAGTGTCGCGCTCTGTATACGATTTTAGCGCCTTACAAGTGCGGACACTTTTTAGCGCGGACCCGACGTCCATATAATTGTAAGTCAATGACTACGCCACAACAAAAATATACACAGTAATAAAATTAAGATTAAAAAAAAAAGGTGAAGCTACATTAAAACAAAAACTTAAAATAAAAATAACTGGACTGAATAATCTCCTAGCACAAGCAATTAGTTTGGTTAAAAGGAGTTCCCCTGCAAACTTGCTGTAAACTAGGTTTAAGAAAACGTAAATAAACACTTTTTATTTATTTTTTTTTTACTGGAAAAAAAAGGAATAAAAATAAAATCATACACAACAACAAAGCAAACATGAAATATTTAACACAATTAGATTAAGAGTCATGTGCGCGGCTGTGGCGTATGTAACAGGATCCCACTCAGCTATTGTCACCACCGAGAAAAGGCTGTGACGCTGATTTTCAGTAAGCCCGTATTTCGTATCATTTATCGTATTTCTCCGTTCGAATCGGACTAAGCGCACAAGCGACATCCGAAGGGGGTCCGAGTTTTCTAGTTTTGTATAATCTCGGATTTGGAACGGATACATAAATATATTTCACGCCCTTTTCGGGGAGGACAATGTTATTCATAACAAATAAAAGCACAAAATATAAAATGTCGTGGCCATCTTTTGATAACAAATGTATTACTAAATATACTTATTACTCTGGCACAGGGCATTGGCTATTTCGTCCTGGTCGGAGTATTCTAGATTGTATCACTGGAATAACTTTCATAACTTTGATACATGTAGTATAGACGACTCTAGGCTGAGATTAGCTATTTAATTAGATTGTTAAAGTAGCCCAAAATAAGTAGGCATAAGAGATGCAAGAAACCATTCATCACTTGCAATTAATAGCTGTAAAGTTAGGGGATGATCCATTATTTGGCTTTAGTCTTTTGTGTGATTAGCTTTAAAACCACAGACTTACGTACGCAATTTCCTGAGTCATTAATCAATTCTTTGACAAAATCTTACAAATTTCATTAAAAGATTGGAAAGGTGAAAATTACTTTCAAAAATAATTTTAATACCGATAGAGCCGATGTTAATAAATTAAACAGAAATATCTCTAAGCAATTTATGAGAATGAACGTAAAATTAAGCCCCAGAAAAAATGTTAGCGATATTGTCGACGGTGTACACAATATAAATCAATATGCCGAGTTTTGTATTCAGAGCAGGTCCGCGACAGTGTTCAACGGCTAGTTCTAGTCGTTTTCGTCAAATAAAAATATACTGTTATGACGTATTCCATTATATATAGTCTATAGTATCCTATTATATTCTACAAATACTTGAAACATTAATTTAGGTAAATATTATTAATAGGAAATGAAACTATTTTTCCGGATTTAAATCGCGTATATTTGTTTTTTCAAACAAACCGGCGTGTCAGGACCTTTACAGGTCCCATGGTCACGGTTGACTTTTGGAAAAACAAATATAACGCGATTTAAATCCGGAAAAATAGTTTCATTTCCTATGTGTTACAAAGGCGAAAACCTAAGAACTTGATAAATATTATTAATTTTGGTAAATATTATAACAAATATAAAAATACAAAAACAAGAAAGCAAATATTGGCGTCATTTTTGTTCAAATAACAATGCAGTTTTGAAGAACATATAATATGAAGTCCTATTTGACGAAGCATTAACAATGCGCTGTAGTTATGCGTTATGTTATGAATGAATAGATTCCAAATCTGTATCTAAAATCAAAATACGAGTTGTTTTTCAACAAGTTCATTACAATAATAATACCAGAGCAACATGGCTTCTAACAGCGGAAACCACATTGTTAAATCAATACTAAGTAACATTAATAGCGATAAGTTATAGATAATGTAACTATGCATGTTTTCGAATCTAATCGCGTATTTGTTTTTTTTTTCAAACAAACCAACGTTTTGGACAATTTACAGTTCCCATGGTCACGACTAAAAGTGATGATAAAGTTTTTAACCAGTTATGTCTAATATTAACGTTTTTTTGTCTAATATTAACGATTTTTATCAAATTAAATTTTTTAATTAAAAGATAATTAGTAGGAAATTACTTATAAACAATTAAATATACGTAGTAGCAGTAGAGCTCCTTGTGAAAGAGTTCGTCCTGGGAGTACTGCCACCTTGCCTATTTTTCCCTCCAAGCAGCCATGTGAGCATAACTGTGTTTCACTTTTGAAGGGTAAAGGTGTTGCTTAACACCAGGTGCAGGATTTGTTCGACCTGGCACTTGGTATCATGAAATGAAAAAAATTCGTCATCGCAATTTACTTAACAATAAGGTTTTTCACATGTGATTTCACAAAAGGGCCCATTTTGTAGTGGATGAAACCCTATGTGTTGTTCCTAAAGTAATAAATAAAGAGTTAATGGATTTTAAATCTCTACCTAAAATCAAAATACGTGGTGTTCCACAAGGAAGTGTGATAGGACCGATTCCGTTTCTATTATACATAAGTAACGTTATTTATAGACAAAACAAATTATCTATACATCTAACACGACCATTTCTAAACAATATACGCGACTTAGATCCGACAACAGTTAAATTTCCTATGTATAATAATCGCGAAAATCTAAGAATTATAATTTAATTTAAAATATCGGTAAAATTCAAAAAGTGTCACATAGAATTTTTTTTGGTTCGAGGACTAAATTGGAAAATGTGTGACGAAAATATATTACAGAAGTATGTTTATATCATATAGAGTCCGTACTAAGTCGCGAATCACGATACTCTTTGAGAGTATGGGATTATAGAACAGACCGGATCACAGCTTGAAATAATCTCAGTACACGGTACTAAAAAAACCAACCTCAAAAGTCATTCATCCCCTAGTTTGCCACCCTTAGACGTGGAATATTTTCTTCAAATTTAAATGGGACCACTTCTGACGTACCCTCTTTCCAACAAAAAAGAATCATCAAAATCGGTTCACAAATGCCGTCACAAATGCAAATGAGTTATCGCGTAACATACATACAAAAAAAACATACAGTCGAATGAGTACCTCCTCCTTTTTTAATGTCGTTTAAAAAAATACGTTACATCAATTGTGGAATTTCATTGGTTGAAACACACAGACAAATGAAGGTTTTGGAACAAGGGTCTTCCAAAACCTTGATTTGTTGTCAATATCTTTGTACGAAAACATACTTATTTATACTCGTATATTTGTTTTAGAAAGCAAGTGATGTACGTTAAATACTAGAGTCCGCAGAAATCCGAACAGATTATGCTTGATAATTTTTCTATCACCGCTAAATACAGCATAAGTTGTTGTAAATATTAGTGAACATGCATTAATGAGATACGATTAATATGTAGACATCGAGTTCTTAGGTTTTCGCGACTGTTACACATAGGAAATGAAACTATTTTTCCGGATTTCAATCGCGTATATTTGTTTTTTCAAACAAACCGACGTTTCGGACCCTTTACAGATCTCATGGTCACGGTTGACTGACGTGGTATAGTCTTCAACCAGTTATGCCTAATATTAATGCAAACCACCCTATTTTTTCACTATAGTTACAATAGTTATTGTGATATTATACAAACATTTTTTTATAATATCAAGTGATAGGAGGACTATCAGTAAGCTTCACGTATGTCTATAACAGTTGCAGTGCCACTCAGAGCTTTAAATCGCAAAGATCTGAGGGGCACCCCACTGTGCCAGTCACTCTGAGACCTAAGTAGACAAGTCCCATGTGCCTGTAATTTCACAAAATTTATAATTTCAAAACCGAAACACAGTAATGCTGACATTACTGCCTAGCGGCAGAAACAGGTAAGGTGGCAGTACTTCCGTGGACGAACTCTTTCACAAGGAGCGCTACTGCTACTAGA